ACGAAATTGAACATTTGCGAAATGTTAAGGTTCCCCGCAGTAACCGCTACTTCTCAACTTTCTCGGATCTTGTAAATTTTAATGGAACTTGATAAAAATCGATCTTCGAATTTCCAACAAAACATGTGTCACTCATCTATAAATAACGTGATGGTTTAAGCTGGATCTAATACAGATCTACACGTTGACTGTCACGTCACACGAATTTGGACACGATTCGTTGTATGATAAAGAGAAAGTTGAGAAATCTTGACTTTTCAGTTTCAATAAATGTATTGTAATAAATGTATATCTTTAAAAATATTTATGAAGGATGTTTTTTGTTAATAAAAATGAAATGAAGCTTAACGAAGGTTAATGAAGCCGAACACTACCATTTAACCGTAACGTTTAACGAGAACCACAAATATGTGTGGTATTTCGTTTGGAATAATTATTGTTACAAACAGATTACACGTAAACGAACTGGGTCCGATAAATTGCAACGCAAAGTGGAAACAGATTGACCGCTGATTGAGTTACAAGAGGGAAATTTATTTCCGATTTTGCACAGATGTAAGCACAAAATGATCCTAACAGTAATTGCAAAAAATCGATGTAACATCGTTAGCAATATTAATGTTCCAGCGCAATCGGAAAACAGAGTGGGAGACAGATAGCGTTCGAATTAAGCATCGCGGGGACACTGGCGCGGAATATCCCGGGAAAGTTGCGAAAACAGAACTCGCGGGTGGAAACAGCATGTAACGTCTATGGGTTTTCAGTAAGAGCTTTTCAGTGGGGCTCAAGTGACCGTGCATTCTGAGAAGTCCATGTAGCTTAAGCTGCGGGGAAATCTGGAGAGTTCTTGATATAAAAACTCTCCAGGCAACTTCATGAGTCTGCATTCTAAAGCTCGCGACACGAGTCCTCCAAAGTTTCGCAGAAACGATTTACATAGAATTTAGAGTAAAGGATGGTGTCATTGTTACACGCTCGTCTGTATATTCGTGTGAGATTACACGTCCACATATGCGCGACGACACGTGTATCGCTCTTCAGAAGTCACGAAATTTCACGAGATACCGAAAGTTGCGGAAAAGCTTAATCCGCTGCCGCTGTACGCGCAACTTCGTGAATTACGCGGAATTAAAGCGGGCGATTTTCAGCGTGGGCTTGAACATAAGTTTTCGCATGGTCGCTGGGACACAATAAAGTTCCAAAAACGTCGATTATCTTATTTCGTATTCGCTTTTCCTTTCGGGGAAGTTCCGCGCGCCGGCGTTCCGGGTAACAATGACGGAGAGCGATGACGGAATTTCAATGGGAACTTCGTAAATCCGCGGAACTTTTCGAAAATACGTAATTTAACGGACGACTGGAGCGGTTAGGCCCGACCTTCCGAGCTACCCGTTGTTCAGGATCCCCGAACTGGCTGAAATTTTGCGATCGTTCCGGCCCGCCGACTGAAAATGCGTTTTCGTAACGATCTTCGCCACTTTTTTTCGAACAGTTCCACGAAAAAATAAGGCAATTGTTCGCATATCGATGAATTTTAATTGCAGTATTATTTAGCGGTGGTCTTTAATACATGCATCGTGAATATTCATAGAAATACATATTTCCGTGGAATATAAATAATGAAACGGGGCCTGAATAAAAAAATTCGTATCGCTTTCAGGAGTTGATCGAATTGTTTCTCGTGTTTTGTGTGCAATTTTCGCGCCTCCGCTGAAGAATGCAGTTCATAATTTAGCGCCGACGTGTATAATATTATTTATTTTCACAGTACGTGGCGTACATGACTGCGAATCGTCTGGCAAATTTGCTAATAACAGTTAAATCCGGCGTTGCAACTCCAAATCATTATTGCGAAAACAACAGCGTCGGTACTTAGTCGATGCAGCATTATTAATTCTAGTATATTGATAGTCAAAATGAATTCCTCTCCGCAATCTTACCCGCATTCGCAACAAACTCAAACTTTGGTCCCAATAAATAAATAATACCCAATAAATCATCCATATAACAAGAAAACACCAATCTACGTAACAATCCGCAATCTACTATCCTCAATTCACCAACGTTCTCCGATGAAAAACAACCTACTAACGAAACGAAAACTAACATCAACGTTAAAACACAACCTACCAAAAAACCAAGCAACACCTCCCGATTTCCCCGAGACGGTCGTATCACTCATCGACAGATCTAATTAACTCGCTTTCACGGCAAGATTAAGCAACGTCGATTTCGCCGTGTCAATCGTGAACGTTTCCTTTAATTGGAATCAATAGAACCAATTCCCCGCGAATTACCGTACCTTCGGCCCGGTTCCCAGCAATAAGACCCCACGGACAGTCGATCTATCACGAAAACATCACGCTAATAGCGGATCCCCGGATGGTACCTCGTTCGGGGGTCGGGGGACGCGTCTCGATTGCCCCGCGGACAGATGGCCGGGACGAGGAGGATTCCTATATACATTTTTCTCAAGTCCATTTCCACGGGACCCGGGATTCCTTCACGCTCGAGCGGCGCTCCGCCGCGCGGAAAGCGATTCCTTCGATATCGGTGTCGTGATCGGTCAACATAATCGGCGCGGACACGCTTCCAATAATCACGGCGGTAAGCGTGCCCGATCAATCAACGGGATGACGTCGTTCACGGATCTTCTGAGGACCCGGTCTGCGGAGACGGTCAGGATATTTCGCTATCTGACTGCGCGTGGCTCTCCCGAATAGCCCGGTGTGTTCCAGCGAGCAGCCGATAAGCGAGTGGCGGTCGGTCTATCTCGTAGTCCTCGGGCAGCGTCGGTCGACCGGTCGACAGAAACTGCCGAGCCCGTTCAGTTTCCTTCGCGGAGTAGCTCACCACGGACCGTACCGAATAATCAGGTATGCAAAGGCCTGATAACGGGTGCCATTCGTCGAGCGATTCGAGACGCTGGATGCATCTGTGCGCAACGCGAGGCAAACACCCATTCCGTCACGCGGCGTGTTTCCCTCGGATAACCCTGGCGTCGCCTTTCAACCCCTTTTCGGGATGCATCCGAGGTTGGCGATATGTAGGAACTTGTGATATCTAGGATAGTGGACGCCGGGAATGTAAAGCAGGATGTAAAGTATTGGAAAGGGTGCAATACGAGTTTGCTTGACGATACAGCGTTGCGAATGGCTTGCACATGGTTGTTCTTTGAGGGGTGGGTTACATTTTCAGATTTTTGGAGATCTCGGAGGTGTTTGGGCTTTGGCTGGATACTTTGATCAACTCGTTCTCAATGAGAATTAATCTTTTCGCGACACTAGTTGTTCTTACATTGTTATTGCTTTTTGATGGGCATTCAGGGAGGGTAGAGAGGTAAATTGGTGATTGAAAGAACTCCTGGGACTTGAACTCTGTGTGTTCATGAGAGATTGATCACTGAACTGCTTGCACTTTGTATTTCGTTCTGCAAATATTTACACTTATACCTAGATTCATTCGTATTAGGAATAATCCAGGTCATGTTACATTCATACGAAAAATTTCGATCTGTTTGAGATCGTCATGTTGAATAATAAGATGACATCGGTGGGAACGGGAATATCAGCTTGTTCCGAAATGATAGAAAATGTTTCACTCACAGCGTTCAATACCTCGACAGTATCTGTGGTTTAGGATTCGAGAACAGTTCGATGAACTCGGTTTTGACAGACTGCCTACGGTAAAGGATTAGCCATGGCAACTTTGACGCGTCATCAAGCCGTGTATCTCGGCGCTGATACGACGACGATACAGTTGAGCCAGAATTCTCTGCATCGATTGCAGCGTCTGTTTGCGTCGGCTGCATACCGGATGCGTGGCTGTTTTCGTGCGCGACGTAGCCTCAGAATCGATAACACGCAGCTTCTGCAATTCGGATTAAAATCTGCCAATTACTACCGGTACGCTGGTATCGAGCAGACGCGCAGTTATTGTCGTATTATCGTGTTGCCGATTCGTGCTACCGCACCGGACTGGATCCTTTTGATGCGGGTAAATCGTACGATAAACGGCGAACTGAAACGCCTAGGACCGCAGGGGAATACCTAACGATGCTGTCAGCGTATTTTTTTATGCGAGATATTTTATTCGATCGCGTTTCGCGCATGATCGACGGAAATAATTCGTAGATGGTATTGAATCGGCTAAGCGATGGTTATATGTGTCAGATCAGCGATGGAATATATTAATGCTGAAATAATGAATGGTGATTTGTATTAAATGGTTCGGTACTGCGATGCGAACGAAATTTTTTGTAGATGACGGATGATTATTAAATAGTGTGCGAAAGTTGAACTGATAGGTCTCGTTGTGGTTGAAAGATAAAGTATTATTGTTCTATAATTCGAATATCCATTGTATTGATATTTTTTTATATTTTGGTTCTCTAGTCCTCTAGTTTTATAGTTTTATAGTTTTATAGTTTTATAGTTTTATAGTTTTATAGTTTTATAGTTTTATAGTTTTATAGTTTTATAGTTCTATAGATTTATAGATCTATAGTTCTATAGATCTATATAGTTCTATAGTCCTATATAGTTATATAGTTCTGTAGTCCTATATAGTTATATATTTATAGATCTATATAGTTCTATAGTCCTATATAGTTATATAGTTCTGTAGTCCTATATAGTTATATATTTATAGATCTATATAGTTCTATAGTTCTACAGTTCTACAGTTCTACAGTTCAACAGTTCTACAGTTCAACAGTTCTACAGTTCAACAGTTCAACTGTTCTACAGTTCTATAGTTCTACAGTTCTACAATTCTACATTTTCTACAGTTCTACAATTTTCTACAGTTCTACAATTCTACAGTTCTACAGTTCTTCATCTCCCAATTTTGAATTCCACTGCATATAAAATCAAGCAACCCCACGATCCTCCATTTGAAAAACAATGATCTCCTTCAAAGCAAATCTCGATCGCCACTAAAACACCGAATCCTTCCATGAAACGCAAAGTAACACATTGCATCCGTTGTCTGTGTTTCAGTGACCTCTGAAAACGGTAGCGAGGCTTCCACGGCCGCCTGTTTGACGATGCTGATGCTGTCAATGCTGCAGCTGCTTCTGAGATAGTCGTGGCACGCCTGAGGTCGCGCGGAAGGGGAGCTCACGGGCGTCGCACGATAAACAGCGCACTAGTCAAAAGCAAGAGGTGACGGGGAGGAGCGCATTACTTGGGCAGAGTACAACGGGTCAGCTGATCTGCCGGCGTGTGAAAGGAAAACCAATAACGATAATTGTTGAAAATCGGCATTCTCGAATATTACGTGTCTTTTAGCGTGCTCGGTTCAGTTTGTTCGCCGACGAACGGTCGCGGACAGCTCCCGCGCACGTTCGTCCCGTGTCCTCGATCACGATCGTTCGCCTGGATCAGGATTCAGGACGTCGGCGCGCGGTTTATTGGATACAATCCGCCTCGGCCAGCGTATTAAACGCTCAGCGTCCCCGATGAACACCCCGCGGACAGGTTTACGGCTCGGAAATACGTACGAACTGCTCGAGACGCGCGGAGGCAATTAGTATCGCGTTCGATTGCTGTCTGTCACAAATGCTCAAGCGATTCCGCGTCTGCAAAGCAACGAACGAAATGGCTGATCGTTACGGGACCGAACCGGGGGAACGGCTTTCTTCGGAGAATGTGTCGGATACGAGATTAACCCTGCGTTTACGATTTCACCCTGCTAAATTCCCAGCGTCGTTATTCCAAAGATTTCGAGAAAACAACTTTACCCCTCTACACATCCTCCTCTTTTCCTGCCTTTAACACTGCCATCGACACTGCCCTTAATTAAAATAACAATCAAAATCATCAAGTCGCGAAAGTGATTCGATAATAATTATATAGACAAGTACACTCTCATGTATTCTACAACGAAAGTCTCCTAGAATCTTGAGCATCCTCTTACGTTCCGACAAATTTCAAACCAGTTACACGTTGAGCAGTTCCAGCGTCCATCATCGAACGTCCCCACGTTAAAGACAGGGTCTGCCCTTCATCCCTGGAGTCCTGCCCCGGGACAAAAGGCTCTCCTTCCATTTTTCCTGTTTCTTTCCCGTTCCAACTGCCAAAACACTAACCAAGGAACTCGAAGTCCACGCAGTCGGGGACCGTTCCACTTCAGCACGCGTCCCTCTCGAGGTCCCGCGGCGGTAAGGAACGGCTATCAAATGTACTGTCACGCGGCCGAAGATGCGTGTCACGGCTCGGCCCGCGTCCCCATTCAGCCATTGTTCGCCTCGCCAGGCCGAAGCAGCCGGGGGGATCGATCCCGGTGTGCGATTTCGACGCGTAGGAGACTAGTCAAGAGACGCGCGCCGGATTTCGAACTTCTCCTCGCCCCTCGTCTCGCGTCCTACGTAGCCGAGGAAAATCGCCCATCGCTTCCAACGTAACGACGCTTTCAACCGTGCGAGAGAGAGGATCCTGGATAGGGTATCCGCGGCGGGAAACGCGAACGCTTTAGGCTGCGGCCACGCTTGGTGCGAACTCGGACGAACCGGAGTGAACCTTTTAAAATTGCGGGTACGTTACGGTTCATGTAATAAATCCGGTTAGTATTGATAATTACCGGGTTAATAGTAATTACGGTAATAAACACCGCAGCATTTGGTTAATGTGATGAATGACATATTATAATTATATTTGTCGGTAAATATGAGTAACTGGTAATGAAGCCTGGTGAACTTCGTGGGAATATATTTTGAAATATTTGGTTATTAGTTATTATTGAAACATATACGTGGATTTTGAAGTTGCTCGATGACACGTGAGCCTTATGAATATTTAAATTTTCCGACGGCTATTCGTTTATTTGTTTATTTATCTTTAGTTAATTCATCGTTGAAATAGTAGGCTGACACCGGATTTGATTAGTTCGATGTGTATTGAAGGTTCGCCAGAATGCCAGTTCGTCCGGACGACCCGTACAGTGTAACCGCAGCCTTATTCGTCCACGATACGCGAATGATGACCCATTTTTTCGGGAAACGCGCTCGACGCAACACTGGTAGAGGAGCTCGATAAACGAGACACAGGATATTTAGATTTAACGAGGTTTTTATTTTTTAAGAGCGGTTCTACTTAATTTTTAATTGTACCATACGAACGCGAGAGAAAGGCGATTCTTAGTTATATACTTGAGAGACGTTCAGCGTTTTAAACGAACTTCCGGGTTCGATCTCGATCTTGACCTCGAACGAGTTTTTGTTGCAACGTTTTCGTATAGTTTAAGGATCACACATAATATATATATATATATATAATATGTACGAGTATGGATATGTATATACGGTGCCTCACACTCGAAATTGTCTGTCTTATAACATTTGCTTTATTATTTTTGATAGCGAGGAATTGTACTCTACAACGGTACGATAGTTTCACGATCAGTGTAAAACAAACGTTTTAGTTGTATCGTTATGCGGTTGGATGTTAGAGATAATCAAAAGTTTTGTAAAATGACGGATTAATGTAATGTGTAACGACGTGTAAGTAAAGTACCTTGTTTATGTTGGATTCTATATGACTATTGTGAGATCAATAAACATTTTCTTGCAATTATCCACGACCTTGTTTATTCTAGACCGAGGAATTTACATTTCAACTTATAACGATCCTTTACTTATCAATAATCAACGATTACACTATATCTGATGTCTACCACGATGTCATTTTAACTTTACATTGTTAAATTCTCACGATACAATTAAAAATCAAAATAAATCGTACAGACAACTGTTTATTCTCTTCGTCGCATCTCGCATTAGCAAATGAAACAACGAGAAAGTGTCAGATAATTTACAGTGTGAGTAACTGTGCATACAGATTTCTCAACGAGTCCTCATTAACAAATTCTTCGTTGACCGCGCGTTCAGAATCATCCGGGAATCCGACACCGCGATCAATCAAACAACAATACCCCGGAAACTTTCGAACACAAGCCGCTCCCATAATTCCGGGTATCGAGATGCGCGAGTAAATCCCCAAACTGCGATTTCAATCCGCCTTTCGACTTACCGAAATCAAAACAAACCAATTCCAGGCCCACTTAGAAAAGTCCACCATTTCGCAAGTTAGACCGATCCTTGCGGAAAACAAGTTTCTTTCATCGCGACAGTGACGGAAACAGAACGAATAATAATCTTCCGTAAACAAGGTTACGGGCAAGCATGACGAGTCGTTAAATCGAAGGAACGAACACGATGCACCCAGTATTAACCCCTCAACGGACATGCCAAAAAGAAATATTTTATCTCCTATTTTTATTTAGAAATCTCGGAAGGATTATACACATATATATATAAATTGAATGATTGTGTTAATATTTTACCTTATGAATTCATTTAAATTCTAGGATATGATTTATTTCCTCCACATAAACAAATAGCTTCTATCGACAAGAATAGAATAATAATAGCCTTATGTTACAGTTAAATTAATATCAGCTTGTCCACAAAGTATCTTTCGTTTCATCAGCACACAATAAATGCACAACATTTTATTGTTTACATTACGTTATAGAATTATTCACCATTCATTAATTCATTATCTTCCTCATCTCGTCCAAAACTTCCACCAGTCCAAATGTTTATAAGCAGAGCGCCAAAGAGACCTACAGAACACCCTAATATTCCACTCGATTTACAGCTAATTAACGCCGTTACACAGAAAACTCGTGCGTAATGGGGTTAACGCTCGCAAACGCGTTCAGCCACGATCGCGACAAGAGAGAAACGTATTTTCCGAGGTGCGGCCGGCGAACACGGAATTCACCGGAATTCCCCAATTTTACAGTATTTCACGAGAGTTCTCCCCGAAGCTTCGGTTCGTCACTAACCCAGATCCGGCTGCAAATATTTCTATGGAACGATACTAAGCAAACAGCACAAGTTAGGAAAAGTCGGCGAACAGCACATTTACTTCGGTGTCTCTTTCCTGTATTTCTCGGGGCGTGTTTCCTCGAATATTTTCCCGCTCGCCGGTTGTATCAATTCTGTCAACAATCGGGGAACCCTCTCCCGTGCCCGAACATTTCGCGAAACACGAAAGTTCGCAGTTAATGCATCCACTTCGAGAACAAGGGTGGAGGATCGATACAGTCGAGGGAAGAGGGATGGAAAGCCCATCGTTCCAGCGGAGCGGAAGAGCACAGGCGCAGCCTTTCCTGTTCACCAACCCCCCTCGGTTCGTCTTTTATTAAAGGGAACCACTGTAAAACCGCCGAAGAATATCGCGCGTCTATAAACCAGCCACGTGCCCTGTGTTTCTTCCGGGATAGAGAAACAGTTCGTATCATTCCGTTCGCGGAGTGGTAGGGGCGGCTTTCCGAGGGGGTTGAGGGGAACGCGGCTGACTCGTCTCTGTTGGCGGAGAGTCGGACGATGCTCCGGCGAAAACTCGCGGGCCATTTACGCGGAGCGTCGACGTAAAACGGGGAACCGGCACAGTTCGCGGCGGGTTTTATTCGCTGAGCAGGTACGCTGTCGACGACCGCACACGCGCGGCGTGTGTCGAGCAGCGAGATGAATCGCCGTCGGCAGCGCGGATATTCTTCGTGGATGGATACATCGGGAAACACCAGCCCTGATAAAGCTTTCGCCGAGATCGATCGACGATGCGCCGTTAATGCTGGAATTACCTGGCAGACCGGAACCACTCGTTTCTCTTCCTTTGGAAACCGTCGAGAGGATGCAATCGCTTTTCCGGGAAATGTTCAACACTCCGCCGCGTTACCTGCATTCGTGCGATACAACTGAATTTGGAAATGAATTTTCTTTGGTAGCGAAGCGAACGGTAGTATGTCTTGGATTTTCAACGTTTGTCCTGTTAGCTTGACAGGCGAACGAGAACTATACGAGTCCCGGGATCTGGATGAACGCGTTGTTATAGTTTCTATGAGAATCCCGGCTAACCGACTCGACTGCACAGTGGTTCCAGCGTTAATGCCTTTCCTGGAGATCGCAATTCTTCCTTTTACACGGACGCATTTTTCTAGCGATTTTTGCGAGTCACGCAGAACCATACAACGACGAAAGCTACTTGCTGCGTAGTGGACCGTACAACGAAAACGAGAGAGGAAAAGGGCACCGTGTTTATTTACCCGTTCCGTCGGTGAAAGTAGCGTTTCCTGTTAACGAAAAGGAAAAGGACCGGGGGAAAAACGAAGTTGGACGGAGAAGAGAGTGGAACTCGTAGGGCGAGAGTCCTCTTTTTTTTTCTTTTTTTGTTTCTTCCCCTATTTCTGTTTGTATCGACACAGAAGGGCGAGGGGTTGTGCTCTAATCGCGCTGCGGTACAAGTAAATCCCGGTTTTTTTATTTCGGGCGTGCGATTGTGTGTTCTCGTCCGCCATCGCGTCACCGAGCCCGTAGGAAAATTATAGATGCACACACGACCGTGCGCGGTTTCAGATAGGTCCTACTAGCCGTAGCCCGCAGTGTAGATATTTTTTCATGGGTGGAAGCAAGGAAGGAAGGAGTGAGTGTCCGGGCGAGAATGAATTTTCTGCGAGCGTCGACGCGGCTTTCGTGAAATGTAATTATGAGCACGAGAACTATTATATTACTGATCCGCTGAAAAAATAAACGAGCGTAACGTAGTTGCGAGAACAAACGCTGGGAACGATGTAATTTGTTCTTCTAATACGTTTAAGGTGTTAACCGCGAAATGGCAGAGGACCGACCGGCCCGTGAACGTCAACCGTATCTTGTGTCGTTAGACGAAATTAATCCGCGGTTTCGCCCGAATGCCAAAGACGTGACATATGTTTCTTTCTATTTCCTTTCTCTTTCTATTCTTTCTTTCGATTGTTTATCTCGTTTCTCTCCGAATGTTTGTAACACGTACTTATGCAACCGTAAAGTTGCAATTCACGTAAGTATAAGCGCTAACCGTAATATTAAGCGGAGGAATGGTAATTTCGAAGAACCGACTACTGTAATCAATGTACGGATTAAAGTGGAAAATTAATTTTAAACAAAAAGAAAACAAAAAGGAATGAGGTTGTTAACGGCGTACCCATGATTTATTGAATTCTTGTTGCGTCACTGTGAACGTTTAAGAGTTTATTTTCGAAACTTTTTATATGGAGCATCTGTGCGATGGATCATTTGGAACTACATATTATGTTTGATATTTAAAATTGGAATACTGTAATACATGGTAACTACACTGTTATTGTACATAATATTTTCTTATATTTTACCTTCTGACCTGTGCATTACGCAGATCGTAATAAATCTGGAGATTTATCATTTATTCTGTTTCCGTGGAGATTCTAATCCAGCTTACTTTGATATCTGGCTGAGTGCGATATTAAAATCTTATCCCCGTAGACTTGTCAACGACCGTTTCGATGTACACGTTGGTGCTTCTATTTTCCTAAATTCATTTCTATCCGAAGTTCAACATTTCCTTACTTTTTACGCTTATTAATGATTAATTCATCAGTAACAGGTATTAATTAAAATTTCTTCAACCATCGTAAGTTATCGCGAGTCTTTCAAATCCATGAAGCAGCGTTAAAAATTATCAACAAAACTCTTAACCACTTAACACGTCGATACATACACATTATCGATTACAATATCCCATTACACTGCTTCCGAAATTCATTCCCATCAAAGACACCAACATCCATCATTCCATGCCCAAGCAAACGCCCATAATCACGAAATTTCAAAAGAAACCCGTATTCATAATCTTATCAACTACTTAGCACATTAACGGCGTGCCTAATCCGCATAATTATGAACGCGTGATACAGTAAAACGTCGTTGACGGCTAAAGCAGGCGAAACAACGGTTGAAAAAGTCAAAGAAAACGAGAGAGCAGCGCAAACACGTGACTTCGAAGTTCCACGGAGCGGCGTAGGGTTAAGCCAACTTAATCCCCGTCATTAGACACCGGTTTCACTGGCGTGCCCGACGAATACGAGTCGGCAGACGGTCCACGTAAAACTGATTCCAGAAAAGTCAGTTTACAAGGGGCAGCCGCAAGTAATTCGAGTCAAGATCCCTGCTCGTACAACTCTCCAGGCGCGTCGAAGCTGCCAAAGTCTCGGAAGGAAGTCCGACGTCTGCGAGCTCGAAGTTTGGACGACGAATACCATTCAACTACACCACCTCAGGGATACCGTGTAGTCTCTGAGTATCCTCGGATGATTGTATATCCTCTGCAGTCGCACTCACACCATGGGCCGCCACCTGCAAACCTGTACGTGCGGCCTGCGCGACCCGGAATGGTTGCCCCGCCGTGTACACAAACGCGACAAAGGAAACGACCTTTCAGTTAGCTGAAACGTCGACGCCGTAACAATTACCACTGCTTCCCCTGTGTCCTCTCGCCCTCTCTAACCATTTCCAGCACTTATCTTCCGCGTGCTCTAACCCCTCCGCACGTTCCGCACGTCCACCACCGAATCTAGCAGCCGTTGAATCCTTCTGCCTATTTATCCATCTATTTTCCTCGGTTTCGTTTGTCTCCTGTTGTCCCTTTTAGGTGCCTTACCTTCCTCCCTTCAACGTCTCCACCTCTCTCTCCGGCTTTGTTTCGCTGGCTGCCTCTTTGTGCTCACCCTGCAGCTGCGGAGAACAGCACAGGTGCCGGGCACAAGTTGCCGGGCGCGCGAAGCGACTTCGTCCGGGGTGACTGGTTCAAAATAAACTTTGTTTCGGGGCTCCGGTTAATATCCCTCCAGTCGTCAAACACGGTCACGCCGTGCACACAACTGCGCACTCCCACTGTTGAACAGTTTTCTTTGTCTACTGTTGCCTGGGAGTACGTAAACCGCAATGCTTAGAGGCTCTCGTTGTGAACACCCTCAATAACATCGGCTGATACGTTTAGTTTCGTGACGGCGCTGAATTATAACGCAACTCATCGTCGGTACGCTTCGTCGCATCCCCACGTTTTCGAAAGGGGAAATTCGGAGAAACTAGCGAGCCTCGTTTAGATACATATGATGAGGACAACATTTTTATTTAGACGCGACACGCGGTAGGTAATTTCGGGGGAGGTCGTGTTGTACGCCGTTTGATGAGAAGTGAGATGGGGGTGAGATTAGATAGAGTGGTTCTTGCGGATTTGAGGTCTCCTTGAGTCTCGAAGTTTAGTAATATATTAATATTATACTGTTAATATTTAATGAAACGATTATTTTGTTATTGATATTATTATTATCTATTATTAGCGTTATTGGTATTTATCAATAAGCGAAATTAATAACGAAAGTTTAATTACCAAGTCAATCGTCAAGTTAATTTGCGGGTGAATTGTGCAAATTCTAAGGAAAACAGTAGAACAGTAAATAATAGAAAATAATCAAAGGGAATTCATCAAATTCAATACCCTGGCTCGTTAAACTTCCCGACCGAGCCGAAAAATTTCGAAGCGAGGGGAGAAAAAAAAGTAACAGCCCGAAAACGATCGTGTTTTATCAAATTTTTCCGTGCACGGTGCTCATTGAAATATCCGAGGAAAAGTGTGCTCGACTGAAAAAAACACAGACATACACAGCGGCGCTTTTAAATAACGAAAACGAGCGGAAAAACAATCCGACGAAGTTTAAGCGGCCGCGGCAACGGGAGTCACGGTTCCGAAATAAAAATTCGCAAACTATTTAAAAACGCTTTTCTCCCTGCAGACAATGGGAACGAGATAACACGGAACGAATCTCGAGATTCAGTTTTCCCGGGCGAAAACATCAGAAACGCATTCCGAACAAAGTTTTATACGGGCGGGCCGCGGAAGTGTTTCCCGTGTTCAAGGGCGCCTTTCATGGGCATTATTTTTCAGAATGCGGCGCATTAGCCGCAAGAAAGACGACCGGAATTAGGTCGCGCACGATCTTTTGCGCCGGATGCCGATTTAGTGGGACAGAGTAATGGACTCCGGCTACTTTATGCCGCCGCCTTCTCGCCCCTTTGCCCTCTTTACAGCAGCCGATCCACTCGGAAACGACTCCGAAAATACTTCCATCGCGGGCGGCAACGACCAACTCATGGCGAATTGATACCGTCGTAGAGCAAACGTTTGCACGGCTTGTTTGTGCGAGAAAAAAGTCGCGCCAGGCGAGAGCTTCCCTCGATTAAATCACGCGGCGCGCCGCTACCGTATAACCGAGGATCCGTGTGTGCGTTCCGCAAACCCAGCCGATTTAAGAACGAAATGTCGGGGGAAGATTTTTATTTGTCGCCTTTTCAACTTACTGTTACTCCGAAGCTGTTGAGAAATATTTGAGCATCAAAATTCTTGTATGCATCCAATGTTAGTCCGAGTTTTTCTGAACACAACGCGGAACGTTTGAAATCGCATTTTCGAGACTATCAGACACGTCTCCGAACTGGTAATTTTCAAGGTACTTTTCAAATAAGTTTTTTAATTGAAGCTATATTCAAGATTTTCGTTCGTTATAAATTTTCTGGTTTAATTCGGACTCGAGGAAAATCGTTGCTTTTACGTGTATTGAATTCACTTTCACGTAGACTATTAACTTCGCTTTTTACTCGCGCCGTTGCGTACCGAACAACAAATATATGGGAGCACGGCGCAGTATAATGTGTCATTAAATTTCCGTAGAATGCCGGTTCCAAAGCACTGCCTCCGGCATGTACGAACCAACGAGTGAATGCCGGCCGTATAAATACTGGTGAAAACCGGAAAGGGAGAAGAACGAACAGGGAGGAAGATTTAGACGCTTGAAACACGGAAATGCTAGTTGCAACAGCGAATTTCGAAAATCAATCACCGAGCATTGTTCTCGACTTCCTCGGTGGTATCCAGCGTTTGCTTTTATTCTAACAAACCACCGTAGTGGAATGCCATGAATCGATGGTACGTTCATAATTGCGCAAGATTTCACCTTGTTCCCGTTTCTGTACGATAAAGTGCATTGTGTCGTATAGAAATATTTGTCCTTCGTATAATTCGTGAAGCCCGCGAGTCGAATTACATGATTTCCTAGCTGAAATTAAAAATCCAAAAACCGAACGAAAATAAAGATTAAAAATTGTAACGATTCGAAATAATAAATTGCAATCGCAGAGAATCAAATATCTAATATAATCTCACTATAGAAACGTCAAGAACTATCTTCACAATCTTCTTCTACCCTTAACACTCCAGCCGATTTTACAACCTACGTCACCTCTAAGCCACTTTCGTAATACCTCTACAGAGAACTAACCCTTTGCCTTCGAAAGTTTTTCCCCAGAAATATACAACACTTTTCAATGAGATATGAACGACATTCTTGAAAATTAGCAAATAACAAAACCTACCTAAGTTAAGAAACAAAACTATTTTATTTCAATATCTCACATATCGATACATTATACAGAGCATAATATTATAAGCGCACTTCTCAAGCGCAGCGGGTTAAAAAACGTTACATTATCACATTTATTAGCTACTTATATTCTCCGTAAACACATGTTGAACGAGTAATAATTGCAATAATATTAGAGGTAGTTTTTCTCAATTTCGTTCATTGAAACAGTTAATAATACAAATACTACCACAGTAGATCCCACAGAATAGACACGGTAAAAAAGAGTTTTCCCCTTCGAATTCGAAGTGACTAATTAACAGCGAAGGGGTGTACGAATTCTAAGGGCGCTCGCGTTCGGGACCGTGCGCGCAGATTAATCCCCAAACGCGACCACAAATATCCGTCGCGGGGCCGCCTATAAATCGGAAGCTCTGATTTCCAGGGGAAGTTTTTCAGATTATTTGCCCGGCGGCCAGTTTCTCGTTCTTTCCGCGATCGTAAATCGTTCGCGTCTCAACGCCGCGCCGCCGGCCGTCTCGCGGCAACGGGCACGTAACCGTGTCCCGATAACAAAATAGCGGAGTCGAACGAGCCAGCCAGTCGACTGCAGGTCTGCCAGCCGCTCGAGTTAAGTACCTGCCTATGGAAATTTAACGCCACACTTTGCCGGTGTTACATTTGTAATTCATCGAGCCGCCGCGTGTTACGGACAGCTCTGAAGTACGCGCCGTATAATAGAATGAATTTATATTGGTTGCGAAGTGTACCGTCCCCCGACCCGCGGCTTTTTTCCATCGCCTTTAGCCGGCTGCCTCACCTTTCCCCTTCAAGCAATTTAATCGCACAAAGAGGTCGAATCACTTCGAGTATTGTTTGAATTTAAATATGCCGCTGGAAACTCTGGGAGACTCCGATGGTTGGGAGGAATTTAAACGGG